CCCCCCCCCCCCCCTCCCTCCATCTAGTTGCGCCAAAAATGACATCACCATGGAAGCAACACCTCCTGGAATAGTGCGAATAAGAAAATCTTTTATCTTAAAGCTTCTGTTTTATATATTTATAGATTAACACTCCTTTGTATTGTCTATTTAGTTTACGCAGTAATCAGATTTTTTGCGTATTTTTATCTTTCTTTAGTATTCAAACTTCTGCGTATGTAATTTATTTTTTATTCGAGGGGATTTTGTTGAATGTCGGTAACGATTTTTGAAATGTCGAATTTTAAATATTAGGACGGCGTATATTTCTATTTCATATTAAGTAGACATTATTCATCCCTGAAGGATTTTAAACAAACAGAAAATTTGATAAGACAATAAAGTATTGTTAACACACTTGTGCAAGGCAGTGTTTCCTTGATGTTCTGTTCAAATAGATCGGAATTATTTATTTATATTTTACCGTGAATAGCGTGAATTATTTTATAAGCTGAAGGGAGCATTTAATGTTTTTTTAAGCTGGTTTGGAACATTCATGATAAGATGGGAGTTCAAAATTGAAAAATCATCAAATTTTTGGGGTAAATCTTCCAATTTGCCATTTTTAACCTTCTTCAATAAAATCTAACTACCGAAAAGAAAATCCTTATAATGAAAAATTTTGTTCAGCCATAAACATTAAACCTCTCCTTGAATCATGCCTGTTGACACAAACAAAATGGACCCGATCGGTTCATCGGTGTTGCGTTTATGGGATGGATACAGACAAGATGACTTCAAAACTTTTATTAAGATCAAATTAGTTCTTGTGAAGACATTTTGGGAACTCTGTTTTACAGCGCTGGCAGCTTTTTTAATAAACTAAATTTGAAATTAGAATTAAAAATGTAAATTAGTTATATTATATATTATTTGGTAGCTTTACAACGGTTGCGTTTCATGTTTTCTTTTTGAGCTTCAAACTAAATTAATGTAAAATTTTCCAACAGCAGGTTTTTAGGAGTTTCAGCTTTCATAAAATTTAAAGAAATTAACGAGGTGTATAATATTGCATGTTAGGGAAGAAAACATATTTTATCGCCCTGAATTAATTCATTATTTATAATTGTTGTATTAAGAATAAGATCAATGTTATTATAATGTATTTAGATTGTCTTGTAAAATCCAAGAAAATTAAAATTCAGGAAATTTTTATCAGTGTTCCTTAATTTTCTTTTTCTTTTAAAGAATAGAAAAAACTAAAATTGTAGTAGTAGTGTAAAAATCATTTAAATTCGTAATTTCATACCAATGCTGAAATTGTAAAAAGTCCCAAGAGCAAAATATTATTTTATGTTGCTCATAATTTAGAGCAGCTCTTAAAGACCGCTTCCAAAATTCTAAGTTGCTCTGTAAGATTGTATCTTTAGATAATTTTATCTCAGTAAAATTCATAAACCTTGGAATTGAGATGTTAATTACTCTCCAATCTAAAGGTCTAATACACTTTGTTCTTGGGTCTTTTCCTGTATTATTAAATCCTTAAAATAGCCATAACAGTGATAAAACGCCATTTTATCGAGTTTAACTAATAATACTCTATTTTTACAGATTAAATGATGTAAAAAAGAAGAAATCTTCAGTCCGTGGAATTTTAACAGGTTTTTTTATTTTTCTTAAATAATTATTGTGTTAAACACTGGAAACTTCTAAAGAACCGGATTAATGATTTCAAAAAGTTAAAAAAAGTTTTTAAAAAGTTTATTACTCTTTTCTCTTATTGGTCAAATTATCAGAGATTTGACACAACGTAACCGACTTGTTAAATTAACAAACAAAACATATTTTCGGCAGTGCGACAGGCGCTCACCTTTTTTACCGCCGACCGAACTATTTTGATTGTTTACCTTAATTTATAATATTTTGAACAAGTTTTCCTTTTATTGATGTTGTATGACGGTTACAGTGTCGGACAGAGGGGGTTATAATTAAATCTTTGACGTCACCTAACTTCGTAAAAGAATTAATTTGAAAGTTGTTATTTTAACGAAATTAATCTCATCTCATTTGTTATATTTTTTCCTGAATTCTTTTTTCAATTAGGGAAAATCATATGAGGGGTTATAAATAAATTCTTTTTTTCTAAAATCGTGCATCGCAGCGCAATAGCTTCTTTTTTTATACTTTTTATCTTTTTCGTTGAAAAGTTTTTGGGTAAAGAAAGTATTTAACAGAAAATATTAATTTTCCATACAAGTTTTCATCATGGTAAATTGTAAAAAAAATCCTTATAGGGACTGTTAGCGTATAATTGTAAGTGACCCTTTATTCAAAAATGACAATGCCTGATTCCCAACAATATCCTTGAAACCTTTATCTGATCAATAGTATGGAAGATATTTTCGTTTTTCTAGGCATTTTGATTCGGGCATTGTCATTTTTGCGTAGAGATTCACTTGAAATTGCACTTACAGTCCCTCTAAATCCTTGAATGATAAGGAGGATGGGTCGACTCACCACGGATGAGACGGATCTGGAAACAGTGAAGAGTGTTCTAACAGATCCTAAACATAATGTAGTTCTCGTGGTCAGGCTGGAGTCATGCAATGACTTGAAAAAAAGGTAGGACACAATACAATTGGGCAGTGGGGAGGTGGCTTCGTCACTGGCATAGACCTTGCCATTTTGATTCACACTAGACAAGTGTCAATAATCAACTGTTACCTTAATTTCCGTCCGTAGGCGGTTATTTTTACGGGGTCTGCCTTTATTTCAACGGAATGTAGCTGATCTTTTATTTATTTATTTATTTATTTGTTTATTTGTTTCAACGGTTGTACACTGTACACTGTACACTTTACACTTTACACTGTACAGTGAGAACCAGAAAACTCTGGAATAGCAAGACGATTTTCTGACTCAAGTTGTAACTTTGAATAGTCCTATAAACAGAAGATACAGAAATTGATCAGTAAAAGCCGAACCATTTTACTTAATATTTTATTTCATAAGGTACTGGTAAGTGGTAAATCTATATGTTTTGTAACAGCAACAAATAGGCTTCATTAGTGCTTTAACGTAGTATTAATATCCCGTAGTTTTCTGGTTCTTATTGTACACTGTACAGTGTACAGTGTACTGTGTACTGTGTACAGTGTACAGTACAGGGCGGTTGGGATAATGAAAAGGAGAGAACTTTTCTTGACGTTGGGGTCGCCAATTTCTCTACAATTCTTAGATTTTCTTATCTGCATGACATCTTTTTTTGTGTTTGTAATAACTGTAGCTTTTTATGGACATTTTTCTAATACATTATAACAACAATAATAATTTTGCAGATTTTCTGTATTGGATTTCCAATAAAAATACTTGTTTATCGAAATCATTTGAAGCAAAAGTGGTTATTCTGATTAGCCCTATAAACCTTTCCTGCCTGGTCGGATGTCAGTTAATTTTTTTAAAATTTTAAGGCACATGGTGATTGTAAGTGCTCCCAGTTCATCACAATCCAAGCAACTCACTGAAACATATTCGGTTCCTGTCAAAACTAGGTTAGTTTCATCAGACGATGGAAAATTCACTTTCCACCCGGACAATTTTCAAAATGACAATTTACAAAGTCACAATTTACAAAATGGCATTTTCCAACATAAAAATTTCAAAAATCATAATTTCCAAAATTAAAATTTACAAAATGGCATTTTTCTACACGACAATTTTTAAAGTAACATTTTTCAAAATACAATTTTCAAAATAATAATTTCAAAAAACACAATTTAAAAAAAATGACAATTTTCTAAATTACAAGTTTCCGCGTGACAATTTTCTAAAATAATAACAATTACAAATTGAATTTTTCCTTAATGACAGTTCCATAACAAAAATTTCCTAAATGACAACATCAAAAATGACAATCTCCAAAACCACAGCATCTTAAAAAAATTGTCTTTTGCTTTAGCTCCCAATCTCCTTCTAAAGGGCAGGACTTAGAATATTGCCTCATAGGAGTAGACAGTATTTATACAAGGTATTATTGTTATTACTTTGAATATTGATATTATTACTATTATTATCTTATAATCAATTTGTATTTTTGTAAGTAATTTTTCCTGTATTCAATCTTTTGTTGCTTCTGGGGAACGTTCGTTCTTTCACGGGACGAACGGAATTATCAAGAACGATAACATTTGAAACAAAGAACGAACGCATAGAATGCGTTCTTAAAAAAGTGGAACGACCTTTAAATTAACGACTGTGGAACGAACGTCTAAATTGTTGAAAAGAACGGTCTGAAATCGTTCTTTAAGCTGGAACACTTTCTACTAAATCAGGAACTCATTCTAGACCTAAGAAAGGTGGTGCTTCTCATGACACGGGAATTTTTTGTTCCACTAATTAGTTTCCTATACTGTGTTTGTACTTTATCGGCAGCAATTTCGTAAAGAAATGTTTTTACAGGGCAGAAAATTTACAATTTTTAAGTTAAGAAAAATAAGATTTTTACGTTAAAGTGGGTCTAAAATTTGACAAACATTCAACAAAAATGCAGATATAGTTGTATATCATGTGAGTAGATTTTATTAAAAATAAAATATAAAAAAAATGAAACTTTTTTAGCTTATTTGTAATTGTACATGAACCATCCTTTACACCCTGTATTTTAATTTATCTCTACAATAATCCCTTTGACTAACTTAGGGCCAACCACTCATAACAACCTACCCTGGTTAGGCCGGTTCATCTGCATAGTAAATTGTGATTGGTTATTTGTAATATCTCATGCATTGTAGTTTAAAAAAAATATGAAAAAATAAAGAATCATGTCAGGCCCAACTTAGAAATAGATTGCCTTGTTTACAACTCTTGTTTTTGTTTTGAAATAACGTTAGTTCATCACACGTCACAGTAAATTGTAAACAGCCCCTATCACCCTCTCCTTTATACTACTTTAATTGGTTTTCCCATTCTTTGAACCTGCAGACCCGGATGTAGATTTAAATTAGATGTAAATTAATTTTATTGTAATCATGTAAAGAGTTTGTTAGAAAACATGTTTAATTTTTCTATTTAAATCTGTAACAAGATACTAATAATGAAGAAAATAGTTGTGTTTTTTTCAACCGGCCTTACAACTTTCTACCTTCTCAGGTTTTCTAATAGCGATTTAACTTCATGTTTTTAATCCAATTATGGCTTTTAAATTTTATTACACGAAAGAAATAATATTCAAATTAATCTTATAATGGTTTTCTACGGGGTAATTTTAAAAAGTCGATTTTTTTTCTTTGTGCTTAACTGGATTAATAATCCGAAAAATTGAATAGGAAAACCTTAAAATTTCGCACTTGCTGTCTGACATTTGATAATTCCTGAAGCAACAATGGCTACACCCGGGAAAGAATCTGAAATGATCTAAAAATAATATCAAAGCTAACAACAATTATCTATACTTAAGATTCATGATTACACTTAATTGGGATTACTGTTAACAACAGTAACATGAAATTATCCTTTCCTTCCAAATTAACGAAAATACCTGTATAATGATTTTTCATGTTAAGAAATGATGAAGATGGAGAGGAATTGGTTTCCGTTAATATTGGATTTGTTCTCAAGATGCTCTGGGGAACCAAGATCTCTTTAGATGGAGATGGAGGATTCAGGTAGGTCGAGGTCGAGGTCGAGGTCAAGGTAAAATGAGAAGTTAAGACCAGGGTCAAGATGGAAGTCAAGATCGAGGTTGCGGTTAAAGTCAATTGTGAGGTTAAGATTAGGGTAAAGGTCATGTTCAGTGACAATTACAGGGTCAATACCCTAGATCAAGATAAAAGGGTAGATCAGGGTCAAAGTCTAGATTGAGGTCAAGGTCGAGGTAACGATCAAAGTTGATGTCAAGATCAAGATCAGAATGATGAACATTCTGATGATTAAGGTGAAGTATCTGATGATTAAAGTGAAGATCAAGATCGAAGTCCTATCAAGGTCAAGATCTAGGACAGCGTCAAGGCCGAGTTCAGGGTCGGGATCAAGGTCTTGGTTTATGACAAGGTCTAGGTCAATATGTAAATCAAGATCAAGGTCAATATCAAGGTCAAAATCAAGGTCAATATCAAGATCAATTTCAATAAAAAGTTCTATGTCGATCGAAGTAAGCAGTGACAAAAAAGGCACCACGGTTATTTAGATATATTAATGTAATCAAAGTAATTAAATGCATATTTTCGTTTTGATATATTGATGTTATTCAGTGTGAGACAACTTGGGAAGCATTTTATTTTTAAACCAAGATCAGTTCAAGCTCTGTGGACAGTCATTCAAACGTTACATCTTATATCAGGAAAACTTAAGGTATTTTAATATTTTCTTTTTAATTTATTACTATTAATATCTTAATCTGTTTCTATTGGTCTTTTCATCCGTTTCTTTTAATCTTTTCATTCGTTTATAATGATCTTTTTGTCCGTTTCTATTAATCTTTTCCTCCGTTTCTATTGATCTTTTCATCCGTTTTTATTGATATTTTCATCCGTTTCTATTGATCTTTTCATCCGTTTCTATTTGCATATCATCCATTTCTATTGATCTTTTCATCCGTTTCTATTGATATTTTCATCCTTTTCTATTAATCATTTCATCCGTTTCTATTGATCTTTTCCTCCGTTTCTATCAATCTTTTCATCCATTAATATTGATCTTTTCATCCGTTTCTATTGATATTTTCATCCGTTTCTATTTATCATTTCATCCGTTATTATTGATCGTTTCCTCCGTTTCTATTAATCTTTTCATCCGTTTCTATTAATCTTTTCATCCGTTTCTATTGATCTTTTCATCCATTTATATTGATCTTTTCATCCGTTTATATTAATCTTTTCATCCGTTTATATTAATCTTTTCATCCATTTCTTAAGATATTTTCATCCATTTCTCTTGATCTTTTCATCCATTTATCTGATTCCACTCATCTACTCATCCTCATCCTCAACTTTGCAAAAAGGAATTTGACTTATTTATGTCAAATTAATATATAATTTTAGGGAATTAAGAAGAACTAAAAAAGAACAAGATTATTTTTTCATCCCAATATTTATTTAATAAGCATGGCCGCCCGCCTCTCAATTTGAATTGAAAAAAAAATGTTTTCATGACAAATACAGTTGCAAATGATGGTAAAATTACATAATTAATTCGTTTTAATATTTGATATTCCTAAAAATAATAGTGTGTCTTCCCCAAATATCGAACAACATCCCCCTGCACCCCCCCCCCCCCCCATAAAACCCAGATGCGCCTCTGAAATGTATTACAACGATAATATTAAACTTATAAAAATAACAATGATAAAATGATATTTAAGCCGAAGAGGAACTCCTTGTGTGTGGTGGATACAGGCTGGGTGGCTGGATATCAGAAAAATATCAAATCCTCTCAGTCCTGCATCAATGAATGGAATATTATGCCCGACCTTCTGGTAAGCAAGTAGTGACTGAAGTAAAAACTTTCGTTTTGTGAATCTAGGGATCAAGCATTGATCTTCATCTTGATTAATTTAACTCCTCTTCAATATCCCGTGGTGGGCATACTCTGCAGGGATAACTAAAATTTATGGATCAAGCATTCATTCTAAATTTATAGTGCCCACATTGGATATCGAGCTCAAGTGTTTAATATTAACGATATTTCACCTAAAATTCCCATCCTCCGGTTACAGTTTTATTAGATAAAAACATAATTTCAATGTTCTACATGTTTTGGAATTCTTTTAAGATTAATGATAAGAAAAATTTCCTTTTGAAATTTTTAAATTCAAGTTTTCTTTAGTCAGGTAAAATGAAGAAAAGGTGTTACTGGATGATGGTCGCTAAATCCGTGATTGTATCTCTTCCTTATACAGAGATTGGACTGAAAATTACCTAAATTTAAAATCTCATGCTCATTCAATTGAGATTTAATGTTTAATCATTTTCATCGTGCTTTAGGTGCGGCGAGCTCCTTCTCCAGACCAATTGTCCAGATTGACGAGCAATGAAATTGATCAAGAAACTAAAAAGACACTGATCAAATCAACTTTAAGGCACAGCTTTAAACTATTCTCAAGTCAAACTGGTTTAGCGAGGATATTATAAGATGTAAGCAGTAGGAACTGTGTTTAGATATTGCTTCTTTGATTGTTTGGAATTTTGAAAAAAAAAAAGTTAGTTAATTTCGTTTTTTAAATTATACGAGGGCAAATATAATTGTGTAAAATTATATTGACCCCAAAAAAAGAAAATTTAGTTAAATTATGATCTTGATTTTTAAATATGTTCATTTATTCAAAAATATATTGACCCCCAAAAAAACTATTTTAACAAAAAAACGACGCTCAAATTAAAATTTGCTACTTTAAATCTTAATGAAAGTCATTAAATCAATACATGGGGACAGTAAAACAATATGGTGACTGTACAAAAAATATGGCGGTCTTAAATACAAATTTAAATCTGAATTAAGAGAAATCATGAAGACCGTAAATCTGGACGAAATTACGTCTAAATGTATCCGGATACGTTTAGAGGAGGAACTAAATCAAAAACTGGATTCACTAAAAGCTTTTATCGACGAAGAAATTCTTCTAATTCTAGGTAACCTATATTTTTCCCCCTTTTCCTTTCATTTTCCCCTCCCTTTTTCAACTTTTTTCTTTCCCCTTTCCCTTTCTTCTTTCCTTCCCTTGTTCTCCTCTTGGTCTTTGATTTCTTCCCCCCCTCGAGGGGGAGAAAAGAATTTTAAAACCCCTGTTTTTTTATTCCCTATCCGGATCTGTAATCTTTGAAATCTAAAATATAATATACTTCTAAGGGTATAGTTTCTACCTTAAGAGCTACCAGGCANGGGTGGGGGGTTCAGTGTCTGTCCCCAGTCCCACTTTTATGTGTCCCTGTAATACTGAGCTTTGTTCTAATAAATCTTTATTTAGGTCAAATGGACCCGGCGTCTAAAGTTTTTGATTTCTTGTATCTTGGATCTGAATGGAACGCATCAAATCTAGAGGTGAGAGCTTTTTATAGAAGTTCTTTAATCTGAAATGAAAGCAAAGTTTAATTCATTTTTGATGTTTGCAATGTGCAGATCTTAACATGACATGCTGATTGGTTGAATTTTAAACTTCTTTCTTGGATATCGATAACCTAATCTTGGGTTTGGTAAAACCAGGAGATCAAGCATTGATCTCTATATCCATCATTCTAACGTTTTCAGCTCTGATTAATTAACCGATAGGGATTAGGGATATCCCATTCTAAAGTTTTCAGCACTGTAGACTTAATTTTCATGAGCCCTGGCCTCCATTTATAGAGTGACATGTCCTTTTTTACAGTCCAGTGGTGTCCTTACACATTTTTTATGGTGAAGAATGAATGAGTTATCCAATATCCATGTATTTTCTGGTTTCTATATCAAAGTGACTTGCGGATATATGGTACAGAAGCCATGGAGGAAACGGTCAGGATTGAACACATTTTTCAAGCTAGAAAAAATACTATATTTTCTACTATATTGATCAGGTTTACTAGGTACCATTGTGAATATGAGAGATCAGTTTATCACATCTAAGAAAGATAATCAGATGAACTTATTAAAAGTTTTCGGCTCTGTTGATTTAGAGTTTTCACTTTGAAACTGAAGTGTGAAATTAGGGCGTCCATAAAAGTTTAAATGACTGGATTTATCTCTCTTTTTATTTTAGGAGCTGAATTCTAACGGAGTGACCCATATTCTCAATGTAACACGGGAAATTGACAACTTTTTTCCCTCCGTATTTCAGGCAATAACCTATTTTATCAGAGATATGTCTTTTATGAAAAAGGTGTGTTTGGGGGGAAAACTCTATGACGTAAAATCGCATTGCTATTGATTTGAAATAATCCCTTAGTCTTACTTTTGATTATAAACACAATCAAATCAGTTCTGCATTTATTAAATAATTTTGGTCAGTATCTGGTATTAACTGGTTAATTGTTCAGTATCTGGTATTAACTATTTTATTGTTCAGTATCTGGTATTAATTGGTTTATTGTTCAGTATCTGGTATTAATTGGTTTATATTTCAGTACCCGGTATTAACTGGTTAATTAGGTAGTATCTGGTATTTATTGGTTTATTGTTTAGTATCTGGTATTAACTGGTTTATTGTTCAGTATCTGGTATTAATTGGTTTATTGTTCAGTATCTGGTATTAATTGGTTTATATTTCAGTACCTGGTATTAACTGGTTAATTAGAGGTATATGTCTNCTGGTTTTTTGTTCAGTATCTGGTATTAACTGGTTTATTGTTTAGTATATGAATATCCGAGAGTATGATGTAGAGGAGACAAATCTACTCAAATACTGGGATAAAACCTTCTTCTTTATAAAGGTCAGAAGTCTTCAAAACTTTTTTTGTGGGTAAAAATCATACAGTGAGACCCATAAAGTATAGGATGACGATTAGACCCAGCAATTGTGTAGAGTACACAGTTCCATTTAAAGCAACTGGTAAAACTATTTGCGTAATTACAGCATTTAAAACACATGAGACTTCTTAAAATATTGTGATTTCTATTCTACTGATTTTTCAGTCTCACTTTATGTTCAAGATAATATAGACAATTTGATAAGTTAAAAAATAAAAATCTAAAATGCTATCTCAGATTTTAATTCTCATCTATTTCCTCTTTAACTAGATTTTATTGCTAAATTTGATTCTGGAACATAACCAAAATATTAATCTAATTGAACATGACTTAAAGGGACAGTAAAGGAAAAATGAAAGGGGGTATAGGCTGAAAGCTAATCACTTTAGCTCTTGATCGCGACCCATGAAAGTTTTATCTGATGTTCCTATCTCGAGAAATTGATATAAAACTGTGTTAAAATCATACGAAAGTTCATATATGTAAAATTTAGAAAATCTTAAACTTAAATCACGTGACCAGAACTATCACCAATGGCAGAGCAGTATACTGATCACGTGTCTCCGTCTGTATCACGTGACCACTTTACTGCACTGCCATTGGTGGAATTTTTGGTCAAGCAATACGGACGTATTTATAATATTATGAATTAAATCTATAAAAAATAGAAAGAACAAATATAAAATTAGAATTGGAGTAAACCTAAGTTACAATTAGCTTTCTCGGGGATATTATCGTTTTCAGATTGGTTGCTTATTTGCTGAATTTGATCTATTTAAACCCACTACTTTTATACAAAATTGTATATATATTAATTTTCGTATAAATTTGACACAGTTGTAAATCAATTTCTCGAGATAGGAAAATCAGATATAACTTTCATGGGTCGCGATCGAGAGCTAAAGTGATTAGCTTTCAGTCTATAGCCCCTTTCATTTTTCCTTTACTGTCCCTTTAAATTTGACCTGAAAAAGGTATAAATATGCGTTAATATGGTATTCATTACTAACATTCTATGAAAAGAACGTTACAGAACCTACATTTATTTTTATTTAATATCTTTTATTTATTTATTTTATTTATTTTCATTCATTTTCATTTATTTTCATTCATTTTCATTTATTTTCATTTATTTTCATTAATTTTCATTACATTAATTTTCACTAATTTTCATTAATTTTCATTAATTTTCATTAATTTTCATTTATTTTCATTTATTTTCATTTAATTTCATTTATTTTCATTTATTTTCATTTATTTTCATTTATTTTCATTTATTTTCAATTATTTTCATTTATTTTCATTTATTTTCATTTATTTTCATTTATTTTCATTAATTTTCATTAATTTTCATTAATTTTCATTTATTTTCATTTATTTTCATTTATATCTTTTAAGATCGAGGAACTAAAAGCTTTAATTTCAGATTTTATTGTTTATTTGAATATTTAGGACTGTATGTTGCAAGGAGGGAAGGTGTTAGTCCACTGTAAGATGGGTATAAGTAGATCTGCCAGTACTGTTGCTGCCTTCGCCATGAAGTATTTTGATTGGACTATGGGTAGGCTCTCATATACAGTATACTGTACTGTACACAATACACATGCATAGTGCGTACTTTGTATAATGTAATATCATACACCATGTATATTGGACACTTTAATACTATATACCAAACATTTTAAACTGTTTACTGTATACACTATAATATGGTACATTTAATATGGTAGTGTACTGTGCTTTTCATAAGTTATGTACTAATTATTAAAACTATTCAGTACATCAAATACCATTTTCATATACCATGAACACCATTTCTGAGAAACAATGAACTCGTCGTTCTCCATCGGAAATTAAACAAATATCGGACATATATATTTTGACATTTTTGTGGATATCAACGCGTTATAAGTAAAAACCCGGTAACTTGATTTGAGAGACATCTAGCGTTGATAAAATTATTATATTTGCAGTTGAGACTCTGGAGCACCTAGTGCGAGTACGGAGCATTGTTGATCCTAATAAAGGGTTTAGGGAAGAAATATTCACGATGCCTTTAGACAACTTATTGTTTTTCCAAATTATGTAAGATATCCATTTATAAATTTTGTAATAACGTAATGAATATACAAATCTTAAATTATCAAAGGAAAGGATGAGAAGAACGAATGTTTAAATGTTCGTACGTTCAAACTATCACTTGTGAAAACGAACTAAAGTTTAAATCATTAAATTATGAAAGGAAAGGATGAGAAGAACGAATGTTTAAATGTTCGTACGTTCAAACTATCACTTGTGAAAACGAACTAAAGTTTAAATCATTAAATTATGAAAGGAAAGGATGAGAAGAACGAATGTTTAAATGATCGTACGTTCAAACTATCACTTGTGAAAACGAACTAGAGTTTAAATCATTAAATTATAAAGCAAACAAATATTCGAATGATTTTATGTTTGAATCAATACGAACTGTATAAATTGATGAAACAATCCATTGATGAGATGATTGATTTTGAATGATCAAATAATAAAATGATCAAATAGGAGTGGTCGGCGATTAAACCAATGCAATGAAGACGACTTATTATCATTAATGCTTTAACCCCAATAAGATTTTTTCGAATTTAAAGTTTACACAAATAGAGACTGTTCAGTGTTAATTTACAATTCCTTATTGTTAAAGTGTTTCTGATGTTTGAGAGCTTTTGGTAGAAATCGTAATTAAAATATAAATTAAAATATAATATATTTGACGATGACTGTAATACTATGATTAAACAATCAAATAATAAAATTCTTAAATAATGAATGAAATGATTTAAAATAAATTGATTAATGAATGAAACGATCAAATAGTAATATGATTAAATAATAATACGATTTAACAATGAAATAATTAAATAATAGAATAGCAAAATGATTGAATAAAAAAATGATAAAATAGCAAAATGATTATATAATAAAATTTTTAACAATAAAATAATCAAATGATCAAAGGAAAAGGGTTCAATAATAAAAGTTTTAACAATAAATAATAAAATGATCAAAGGAAAATGATTTAATAAAAAATGTAGCAAATACATCTGACTGGTTAAACACAAATTATATACAAGTCCATAAATATTTCTGGGTCTAGACAACAGCTTCAAGTTTATGAAGGTATCCTGGAGGCATCTAAGAAGAGAATTACATTCAGGTAAAATATGGGGAAAATTACAGAGTGTTCCAAAAATATGAGCATTTTTGAATGAAAATTTGTAACCTTAAAACTGATGTAGATATAAAGAATTTTATGCAGATCTAATCTTAAAAACACAAAGCTTTTAAGGCTTTTTATTATACACCCTATGATGTTATTGTGTTATGTCATCTAACATTTTCATATTTATTAGGAACCCCCTATTCATTCATTTCATTGTTTTTTCAAAATTTTCAGATTTAACTTCATTTACAAGATAATAATACAAAAAACAAAACAAAAACATTTTGTTAATCTTTTTTGGTTTATAATTTTTCATATTAAATGGAATACCATTGTAGTAAATGATTTTTCTTTTTGACGAAAAGAATTTTTTGACATAGTCGCTACAATTTTGGTGTGTGGGTGGAGGATGTCCCTAAAAGCATGATTTGATTTGATTTGACTGCAGTAAATGGTTTTAATAGATTAAAGTAGTCGTTTGAATTTGAAAATATCCAAAGATTTGAGGTGTACTTACAAATATATATCATTTAATTTTATGAAGGTTAAGCATAACAAGTTTTCCAAATAAAGATTATCACACAAAAAATTTTTTTTTCTAGGACAGGTGCATTTTCAATGCAATCCTTAAGTTTAGACGATTGATTAAAGTTTATCATCTTAAGAAAAGCCACGCTTCATTTAAAATGCTTTAAATAAAAAAGTTCAGATTTAATATAATTTTACAGTTAGATTTATTTTGATGAAAAATTTCAGAATTAAAATGAGAAGAATGGATAAATATACAGTGTTGCTGAGATATTATAAATGAGGATTAAATATCCTAAATATTCTTCAATTATTCTCCGATATTATCTATATGATTACGATTTTGATTAACGTGTGCTTTTCAGTCTCATTTCAAAATCATATTAAGAACTCTAAAATAATAATATTTTTCGGAGATTTTCAAAATTTTACAAAAATCTAAAACAAAATAGATTTGAGAAACTTTTGAAACTTTTTGCATCCTTAAATGTTCCTTGGAGTCACACCAAATGTTTGGCCCAATTTAACTGTTTTTACGTTTATTGGATACAGGGTGAAGCGACATGGAAGGGAATTCATACAACTTCTCTCTTGTTGCTTATTTTAAAGTAGTGTAAAAATGACATTTAACTTGTAAAATGGAATATCACTTGAAATTACACTGACAGTCCCAAAGAAGAAACAGATAAAGAAGTTCCCATATTCTTAGAAAGCAGCGGTCCAAGTCTGAAAGCCACGTGCCCGGGGAGGGGCGTGACCAGACCCGGGAGAGGAGGCGTGTCCTGGTAAAAAAGAAAATCAGTTTGCAACCTCTACAGACATTTATTTTACGAGTTCCATCAGAAAATAGTTTAGGAAAGTTGAATAATAATGTTTTTTACAGAATTAGTTGCTTAAGTGATTTTGCACATGTTTAGCGTAATATAGGAGGTAACAAATACTGAAAAAGGGTTTGAATTAATATTTTAAGTTTATTTATACCACTGTGATCAATAAGTTTTGCTAAAATTTTCTTATGGGTACTTATAGAAGTCTTAGCTCTAAAAAAAAATTTAAGTTTACTATCTGTATCGTTTACATTTTTGGCCAGGTTTTCGCCAGCAGATTGTTCTTGTGATGTAAGGGGTGTTCTTCTGAAGGTGAACAAGCTTCGTTGTCACAGCATAGGAATATCTATAATATTCACCAGAGAAAGGGGACACTTTGGAGGCTCGGTTACCAAAAAATGTTTTTATTAGTCAATGCAAAAACCAAGCAGAACACATAAACATAATCCAGAACGCATTTAAAACAATTTTATGAACATAAATGGTAGCTTAATGGTGTTAAGAAGGGAAAAATGAATATTGAAACAATTATGACATGTTTGCGGGAAAAGACCATTAAGACCCCAAAAGTGATAAAAATATTGCAAATTGCTCAAACCACATTAGCATGGGTTCAGGAAGTATGTTTGCCAGACAGCTTGATATATGATTTACATTGTAAACAAAGTTGTAAAGCAAGATTAAAAATTGATCTGGTTTAAATTTTTTATAGGATTAAAGGGTCTACATTGATAATGAATCTTAAATGTAAATAAAAATCATAAAAATCCTCAAAAGTTCTTCAAACATTCAATAATCAATCTCTTTTTTTATCGCCCTTAAAGGGTCTAAAAGCAGACTCTGGTGGACAAAGCTTGAGACCATTCTGAAAATTTTCTTGTCGTAACGAAGGAAGCTGAATACTTTCTGGAGAACGCTCCATATATTACAACAAAGATCTGATCAACATCAACTGATCTGAAAAATATGAAAACTGAGTTTAAGTTTCATAAAGTTGGCCCAAAATGAATGAAAGGGATCTAAAAATGGTTGCATGGCTCAAACTTGGTCGTGTTGCTGGGATCATAACGCTCATCGTTAAAAGAAAAAATCATTAGAAAGAGTTACAGCAAATGACAAAATTTAAATCATACAATCGGGAATGGAACCCCCAGGCTGTTTAGTGTGTAATGGAGCTTAAAGCTTCCTCTGAAATTTGATTTGCTTTAACATTAGTTTTATTATTATTTAAACTTATCCAGACAATACCTGTGATAAAGAAGATTTAATAAACCAAGGTAAATGTTAAAAATCTAATCATTTCAAAATTGTAAGTTTAGATTTCGGTTCATATTTGCCATTTCTTAAGATTTGACAACAAAAAAATTTGAAGTCTCACAGATTTCTCCTCAAATTTAGAGGGTTTTTATATTAAGTTGATTACCATCCAGTTTATAAGAATTTATAAACTAAATTTTAAATTTAAAAGTGCGAATTAAAATGACTGTTTAGAGACCAAGGATCGGCCTAAATCCTGGAGTCCCTCAGGGTCCTTTCTTTCCTCCTCAGATGATTCATCAGAGCTAAGGTACACAGGATATACTGCACAACACAGTCCTTTGCAAAAAAAATTGCTGGGGTTTGGTTTTCTTTAATGAAGTTTAAAATAATTCTTATTCAATTTTTTTGTTATTAAGTTGATACAATTTCTTATTGCTAAATTGGGGGAAAGTCTACTTTTTAGAATATTCTGGAAAATGAAAAGTTGTGATCTTAGTTATTGAAAATCATTGCAAATAGGATCACTTAATCTGCGAAGGGACAATATGAGTTTGACCAACTGTAAGCTTTAAGCCATTTCTTTCTATAAAATGTTCCTGTTTGATAAAACAAATGAAAAGTAATTTCTTTTGTAAAATTATTCCATGTTTTGTCTAGTTCTAGTGGAGCAACGGTAGTTGAGAAGTCACCTATTATCTGTCACTGCTATACACAGCTCTCACAACATTTCAAGGAGAACAATGCTTTTCCATCATATATCAGAGGTCAGTGATCAAGGGTATATCAGAGGTCAGTGGTCAAGGGTATATCATATGTCAGTGTTCAAGAGTATATTATAGGTCAGTGGTCAAGAGTATATCAGAGGTCAGTGGTCAAGGGTATATCAGAGGTCAGTGGTCAAATGTAAATGAGAGATCAGTGATCTAGGGTTTATCAGAAGTCAGTTGTCAAGATTATATCAGAGGTCAGTGTTCTAGAGTATATCAGAGGTAATTGGTCAAGAGTATGTCAGGAGTCCGTGTTTAAGAGTATATCAGAGGTCAGTGTTCAAGAGTATATCAGAGGTCAGTGGTCAACAATATATCAGAGGTCAGTGGTCAAGAGTATATCAGAGGTCAGTTGTCAAGAGTATATCAGAGATCAGTGTTCAAGAGTACATCAGAGGTCAGTGCTCAAGGGTATATAAGAGGTCAGTGCCCAAGGGTATATCAGAGGTCAGTGGTCAAATGTAGATCAGAGGTCAGTGGTCAAGAGTATATCAGAGGTTAGTGGTCAAGGGTATATTATATATCAGTGGTCAAGAGTATATCAGAGGTCAGTTGTCAAGAGTATATCAGAGGTCAGTGGTCAAGAGTATATCAGAGGTTAGTGGTCAAGGGTATATTAGATATCAGTGGTCACCCACCCCCCCTCCTCCTCCTCTTTCTCCTCCTATTCCTTTTCTTCTCTCAGACTATTGTTGGTAAAACTTTATAATAGAAATATATCTCTTCAGAGAAATCTAAATTTAGATTTTGATTATTTTTAATTTGTTTTTTGTTAAGTTCATGAATATCATGAATATCGTGTATGATCTTATTAAAGTTTCTGAAACGAATCTCAACAGAAAATACAAGTTAAATATGATTATTTACTGTAACGAGTTTAATGTTTGAAGCTTTTATTTTGATATTCGCCTGAGCTGTTATGCTAATTTTTATAGCGAATAAAAACATGAAAATTAAAAATGGATAATTTAAAGAGTTGTCCATTCTTGAAATGAGTTTGAAAATAAAATAAAAATACTTGAATCCACAAAAATCTATATTTATCCTGATGAATCTAAGGTTTCTGGATCTATATTTTAGTTTCATAATGGTGTACGTGTATTTTACTACATTAAAGGAGGTCATAGAAGTTTAAGAATAAATATTTAGATAGTTTTATTTTTCATGTTTATATAACACTTGCTGAAGACCCCGGCGTGGCCCGTGGAATTTCTAATAGACTTGGAAAAAATGACGAATTTGTCACCCACACGGGGTACCCATGGGCTCCCTAAAAAAATAAGCAAATTTGGTCCAGCCGGTTGGCCAGCTATGATAGCTAACATATAAATATATGAATATATATGATCGAGCAAATAGCTTTATTATATAGATAAATCCTTAAAATGTTCTACTTTAGTTATTTATTTGATTTATTTTATTGATTGGTTGATTGATTGTTTGTTTGATTTGTTGATTGATTGATTATTTGATTGATTGATTATTTGATTGATTGATTAGTTGATTATTGATTGCTTTATTGATTAGTTGATGAGTTAATTGATTGATTTATTGATTAAAGGATACTCCCGTGCCCTCTCAATTACCCAACTAGAGGCGGAGAAAGAGATGAACCAGGACACCGCCTTGGTAGAAGCTACTAATCTTCAGGTGCACTCTAGAAGTTGTTAGTTAAAAATACTAACAATCGACCGCTATTGTTATTAAATGTAAAGTAAACAATAAATATGTTAACCTTTATTTTCCTTTCATTTTCCCTTTTTTTTATAAATCGACTTTCAGGTATTGTCTTTCAATAATCAAAATAAGAATGAACTAGGAATTTTAACTTATGATTGAAAAGGAAAAAAACAAATTTAACATTACAATTTCTTGTCAAGGTTGAACTGTCTGAGTTCGAGTCTAGCTCCTGTCCTGCTCGGTCACACATCAACCAGTGTACCTGCCACGTAGAACTAGAATTAAAAGGTATTCAGTGTACCTGTCATGTAGAACTAGAATTAAAAGGTATTCAGTGTACCTGCTACGTAGAACGAGAATTAAAAGGTATTCAGTTTACCTGCTACGTAGAACTAGAATTAAAAGGTATTCAGTGTATATGCCACGTAGAAACTGGATTAAAAGGTATTCAGTACACCTGCTACGTAGAAAATGAATTAAAAGGTATTTAGTGTACCTGCTACGTAAAACAAGAATTAAAAGGCATTCAGTACACATGCTACTTAGATATTGAATTAAAAGGTAATCAGTGTACCTGCTACGTAGAACAAGAATTAAAAGGTATTCAGTACACCTGCTACGTAGAACAAGAATTAATAGGTATTCAGTTTACCTGCCACGTAGAACTGGAATTAAAAGGTATTCAGTCCACCTGCTACGTAGAACTAGAATTAAAAGGTATTCAGTGTACCTGCTACGTAGAACAAGAATTAAAAGGTATTCAGTCCACCTGCTACGTAGAACTAGAATTAAAAGGTATTCAGTGTACCTGCTACGTAGAACAAGAATTAAAAGGTATTCAGTATACCTCCTGCGTAGAACAAGAATTGAAAGATATTCAGTGTGTACCTACCACGTAGAACTAAATTAAAAGGTATTCAGTGTACCTGCCACCTAGAACTAGAATTGAAAGGTTTTCAGTACACCTGCTTCCAGTGTTTCGGATCCGTATCATTTTGATGCGGATCCGGATCCGCGGATCCGAATCCGTGATGATGGATCCGGATCCTGACTCTGATACGGATCCGGATCCGGATCCGAGGAAACTTTTGATTCTGTGAATCGGATTTTCCCTATTAAATGTTATGCAAGGTTATAATTTATAAACTATAGTAATTATATATTCCGAAATGTAACAAAAAAAATATAGACTTTTTGGAGTAATCCTTTGGACAGGCCGATCAATCACTTCTTGAAGAGATAGTCGCTGTTAGCCTTGAGCAGGAGAAGGGCGTCCAAATTTTCGTCATGTAAATAATACATTTACGAACCATTTTGATTTATTTATTCCATGGTTTTGGTTAATTTTTGGCGCTACCCGGATCCATATCAACGTTTCCTGATACGGATCCGGATCCGACCAAATGATACGGATCCGACCGGATCCGGATCCGAAACGCTGCCTGCTACGTAGAAAAAGAATTAAAAGGTTTTCAGTACACCTGCTACGTAGAAAAAAAGAATTAAAAGGTATTTAGTGTACCTGCTACGTAAAACAAGAATTAAAAGGTATTCAGTGTACCCTGCTACGTAGAACTAGAATTAAAAGGTATTCAGTGTACCTGCCACCTAGAACTAGAATTAAAAGTTATTCAGTACACTTGCTACGTAGAACCAAAATTAAAAGTTATTCAGTGTACCTGCTACATATAACTAGAATTAAAGGGTATTCAGTACACCTGCTACGTAGAACAAGAATGAAAGGTATTTAGTGTACCCTGCTACGTAGAACTAGAATTAAAAGGTATTCAGTTTACCTGCTACGTAGAACTAGAATTAAAAGGTATTCAGTGTACCTGCTACGTAGAACTAGAATTAAAAGGTATTCAGTGTACCTGCCACGTAGAACTAGAATTAAAGGAAACTCAGTGTACCTGCACGTAGAACAAGAAATAACAGGTAACCACGTAGGCCTTTTTTCCCCCCGTCCCCCTTTATATTTTTATTCATTATAAAATATAAATGTTTAGTGTCGGAGAAACCCGTGGATATGGATGAATGTATAAGAAATGAGGAAACTGATTTAATTCTTAAAAATCTTGGAAACTTCCCAATTCATATTCGTCAAACACAGCATTGGAACAACATTGTTTTCAGAGGTAAGTTTGTTAAGCTTTTTTTAAAGCTTTTTTACCGTTTGAGATATATGATTTTTCCCTTTTGTTCAATTATAAGAAAATTTTGTTCTCCTTATATCGGTCTGAAATTTCATCAAATTCTTAATAATTCCAATTTTCCAATTTTTAACTGAGAAGAAGATAAAACATTTTAGTTAATATTTTCCTTCTAAATTCCAAGAAACGATGCAGGGTATTTTATTATAATTTTTTCTATTTGAACGAGGAAAACTTACGTGTTTTATATTTTCTGTAGTTGAGCATATCGTGTTATCCCATCATAAAAACATTCGGGATTTTTGGCTTTCAGGAGATCCCATAAAAATATATGAAAAGTTTTATTATATTTCAATTGTAACCCTTAAAAAATCAGAAAAAAATTGCAGAGAAAAGAGAAATAAATTATAATATTCTGTTTGTTTATTAGACGGGAAAAGAGAAATAAATTATAATATTCTGTTTGTTTATTAGACGGGAAAAGAGAAATAAATTATAATATTCTGTTTGTTTACTAGACGGGAAAAGAGAAATAAATTATAATATTCTGTTTGTTTACTAGACGGGAAAAGTGTTTACAGTTCTGACGGAGTGTATGAGACTGAAAATGAAATATTTAAAGAAAACACGAATATTGGTTTGGTAAGAATTTTTTTACGAATTTTTATTGGTTTGCATTAAACATTTTAGTTTAACTGAAGAAGGCGGAATTAATGACAATCTATATGTATACTTTGCATAAATTTCTGTCTGTCTTTTTGTTTGTATGAATCCAATAAACGTCGAAACGGCTGAACCGATCGGGCCCAAATTTTGTTTGGGGCCTCACATGACCCTGGGAAGGTTCATGGATGATCAAAATTTCAAATCCGATTTTCATTCAATTTTTAAATCGACAAAAAAAAATATAAAATCCGTGAACTTTTTTGTTATTGTTTTACAACGTATTAGAAAGAGAAATTATAAAAGCATGGACAAATTTGTCTATTAATTCTTAATATGCTTATACTTCTTGTTAAAAGATTGAATTCTAAAACGTCAAAGCGACAAATTAAAACGCTTTCTAGGATACATCAGGAGCTGAGGAATTGTCTGTGAAAACTCTGGCTGACATGTTTGATTTCAAGCTGGGAGAAGAACCCGCTAAACCTCCACTAACCTCCAGGTAAACATTGCAAACACATACATTGGCGGCCATCTTGAATTTCTGAGATTTACTTTTTAGGAAATCATTGATGATGTTGAATTGATTTCATTTTTATTTTAAGGCACAATAAACTTGTTGAGTCTAAAATAGAGAAGATTGCTAAGAAATTAACAGTATCAGACCACTCAGAATGTTGACAGCAGACAGCTGGGGGAACTTTCAACCCAGCTGTTAAACCATCCACAGCTGTCATGTCGTCCACAGCTGTCAGATCATCCACCCCAGCTGTCCTTCCAACAGTAGCTTGGAGTAGAGCATTCAGCAAAAACATAAAGAAACCCTTATCAACTTTGAAAGTTATTAAGACCACAAATAAGCCAGGATCAAGATCAAAATGATAACTTGAATTTCCTAAAATTATGTACTGCTTGTTCGTACAGGTTGTACAATGTACAGCGACAAATGAAAGGAACCTATCAAGAATACTAAAATGAATTTAAGAGTTTAACCAAAGGACATACATTATCGAGCCATGATTTTTAATATTGCAGAATCTTACACGTTTTGTGAAAAATGTATGTTACTTCGATAAATCTATTTACACATGCTTTGTCGACGAGTTATTTTACTTTTTCTTGTGTTCTCTCGACCCATTTCTTCTGCAAAACATCAATTGCTTCAAGTTTGGTTAAAGGTACTGTCTTTGTCCCTCAATAAAAAAATAAGAAAAGTACCCTGTCCGATTAACAACGGAACCTTAAATCAGATGAATGATGTGAAATGTATTCATGGGTGCAAAAGTATTTAATTATAATATTTTCCCCATTTTGTCGCGGTAGAAATGCGCAGATCACTTTTGTAGAGAAACTTCAAATGAAAATGGTCAGTTTTTAAAAGAGAAACACAAATATCTAATTCATACTTGATTAAAGGATTTAAGGGTACCGTTGTGAGTCGAGACATTCCAGTTAATTAATAAAAGGTGACGTGAATTTTCGTCTACAGTAATTGTAAATAATTTCACTAACAAATTGGTAACTTAAAAAAAAGATAAAAAGATTCCAAGTTTAAGTCCCTTATTTCAGCCACCCCTCCACAAAATAAAAAAAAAAATTTCGAGCATCTTCTAAGTAATGAGATACCAAGTTGGCAAACATTATCAAATATTAATCTAAAATTTTTTAGCCACTAAACCATTCTCATTAAAGAATTAGATTGTTTGTTTTTTTAATAAAATATTTTTTTAAGAACAGATTAGTCTTGCGACTTTTCTGTATTTTGACATCAGCATGATGCCGTGATAACAACTTCATTTATCATATTTTTCAACTTTTTTACGTTTACCATTAAGTCGGGTTGTGAGATTCGTTTTCTTATTTTATTCAGACCTCGCTCTTCTTGATTAATTAGAAAATATATTCTTATGTAATTAATTCTTTTTCCCATTTGACCGGTTTTGTTCAATGTTCATAGCAGTTTGAATTAAAAGTTAATCATTTTTGACTTCCCCTTATAAAGAATTTGAAGCTTTTGTGGAATGAAAAATGGGACTAAAACTTCACCACTTTTTTACCGCTTGTTAATTTAATGTCTCCACAAAATTATTCATTCTACACTTAAATTTAAACTGGCTAAATGTAAAAAAAGTTGTTTTGATAAAGATGCTTTTTAAGAAGAGGGGAGGAATATTACAGTAGTATGCTATTATACCAATACAATGAAGTCTACTTCCGATTTCAATTCTAATTTAAATCAAGCTGTTAAAAATCATGGATACATATATTCATAGAAGTCAAGAGAAGATGTCATATAAAAAAGGTTCTCTTTGATTACTTGTAAACTTTGAAATTTAAAAAAAAAAGCTGGTTGACAATCAAAACTTAAATAAAAAGTTCATTGCATTGATTTAATCACCTACCACTGAATTATACGTGTAAAGTTACCACATAAAAAGTATAATCAAACTTGTCTTTGCATTCTTTGTTTTTGGATTTGGGAGGGGTAGCAGCAGGGAGAGAGGAGGGTTAGATTGTATACAAACTAATATTGTTTCTACTTAAAGAGCACAATAAATCGCACGAGGTTCTCATATCAACGCTGAATAATATGTATTTTATTCAACATGTTTGTAACTTTTCGTTCATATTTTTAAATTAAAATTTGTTAGCTTTAGTTTTTTTTCAATTTTTCATGCAAAAATATTACTGTTCGGGTTCCCCAGGGTTTATATTTCCTTCTTGAGAGTCGGATTCTTAACGTAAATATTTATTTGAAATTTTGAATAATCTGAAAGCTAAATATTTCTTGTTATTTAAAACTTATAATCACTTATTGTACCTATGCCACCTTCATCACAAAGAAAGTTATGTTTTGAAATTTTGAAATTCTGGTCTTAATCAAAGAAGTGAAGTATTTAAAAATAATAAAGAACGTTTGATCCCTGTAAGAATAAACTTAAATTTAATAATGTATTTTAGTTCTTAAAGACGTATGTTCTATTGTAATTGTTTGTGTAAAATTGTCAAAAGGCTTTATGATGCAACTTTATTTTTTATATTATTTTTTTATAAATTAACTTTTTTATGGGGGAGGGAGGGGGGCAGAAAGTTTTTTTTCCATTTTTTATCTTGTCTTTTTGTTTAAAAAACACAAATGGTTTTTTGATGATATTCCTTTTAACTGTGATATTTTTGTAAATTTTCACTAGTTCTTTGATTTTTGATTTTTAAATGTTATGATGTAATTTTTATGTTAAATTCTAATTATAAATGTCGCTACTTTTCCCTTTTTTATTTTTTAAGTGTTAAAATTGTGTTCTAATGGCCTTTTTATATTTTTGTTCTTGTAACTAAGTAAATGCATTATTTTACAATAAATAAAAATCTTAAATATTTGAATTAACTTTTTTTCTTAACTAATATCAACCACTGTAATAAAATGTTACAAATCAAATGGAAAAGACCAATTTCTCAATTTGTAATTTTTGCTTAAAATAATTTCTCATCCACCCTTTCCTTAAAATAATCTCTCATCCACCCTTTCCTTAAAATAATCTCTCATCCACCCTTTCCTTAAAATAATCTCTCAACCACCCTTTCCTTAAAATAATCTCTCATCCACCCTTTCCTTATAATAATCTCTCAACCATCCCCTCTACTGCCCATCCAACCTACTAACACGTGGTTTGACAACTGCGATTGGTATGATGCACTGTAGGTTGGATGGGCACTTTAAAAACAGCATATTGGTGCATCCGACCTACTATAAGCTGTCGCTTGGACACGTTAGTAGATCAGGTGCCCCTTTTTTGTAGGTCGGATGGACAATTTATGTAGGTAGAATGGGCAATTTTTTAGGTCGGATTCGCAATTTTTATAGCTAACACTAAAGAAATATTTAAGTCTCATTTCGAGACACATGATTGAGAATTTCACATAATGAAATGCGTATTTATTTTGGACCAACAATTTGTTATTTACATTATTCTATATATATATTCTATAGTATAACATAGTATAACATTAATTATTGTAGCAGATTAACTTCAACTTTTCCCTTTTGTCCTTTACAACAATCTCGCAACCTCTGTTCCGTATAATCTCATAATAATCTCGCAACCTTCCTCGTTGCTGGCGGCCATATTGTTTCCTATCCTCCCACTTTGGTAAAGTTTGGTGCGATTTCTCTATTATTTCCCTTTGTTCCCTTTTATATAAATAGAAGAATTTAGATTTGAGAGCAGGGAAGGTTTGCTGCTCCAGAATACAAAGTCAGAGAATTAGTGTTACCAGCCCAGTCAGCTCTTGGGAGCCCTCCATACATTCATCAGTACAGAATCCAGATATGCACAGTCTGCCGCGTAGATCTAAAGCTTTGAAACATTCATTTCCAGTGCTACTAGAAAGCACACTTTTGCTGGCAAATATTCACTGTAGGCCCTGTCTCCAAAGTTTATATGCACAATTTTCTAAGCTATTTACATAGAGAATAGAATATATATATATATATATTCTATTCTCTATGGCTATTTAGAATTCAGTAATTCAGATTCATTTTCGGTTTTTTTATTGAAAATTATACTTTTTTGTGCAACTCTTTTGATGGTATTTTTCAATATTTTTTGGATTTTTTTTGTTGGTACTGAAATGGCCTCAAAAAATCCGCGAAACTTTTTTTTTCTCTCAAAATCAAAAGTTTATAAAAGCAAAAAAATGTATATATATTATTTCTATCAAATTGTAAAATTTTATAAACATTGAATCACAGAAAATTCGTAAAATTGTAATGAAAAAAATCGCAATTTTCAGTTCTAGTCTAATTTTTTTAAATTGTTTTTCAATGGCTCCTCAGTTTTTAACTAAACAGAGTGTATATATATTTATAACTTTAGAATTTACTAAGAAGTAAGGAACTAGGGGATCAATTAACTCTGGTTCTGTGCAGTGTACACAGACCAGCTACTTAATAAATTGATTTTCTAGATACTGGACAACATTTTGTTGCTTTATAGCAACATCAAATAAAAATATAAGATTGCTTAAATGCTTAATTTTATTTATTTATAATAAACTCTCTCACCTTTGCTTTTTCAAATAGTTTTTACTGAAAATAATGACTTTAATTAATATGCCCTTTGCATTATGCAGTTCAAGTTAATTTGTATCACTCGTTAAAAATGGGAAATCAGTAAGTTATTCATTTGATAAATAAAAGAAAAGAAATATTTTGAAAAATTTCGTGTAAACGAAAATGAAATAATACTGCACGTTTTTATGAGAAGTGGTAATTAAAGGAATATATCCATGACTGTTTGCGTGCTTAAAAACACTTGATATTATTAAGCTGGGTGCAGTTAAATAATGGCATTTAAATAAATAGATCTTGCGGTATTGTATTTATTGTACATGCAACTTTTAACCATGCAATCTTAAGAGTAAAACTTGAAAAAGATATTTTTAAGATGGTACATTGGTACATTTATAAGAAAAGTTGAAATTTTTTTACAATGGTCGGCGATTATATCAATGCAATAAAGACGCTAATTGATAATGCTTTGATCGCTAACAAGCATAATTTTAATTACAAGTTTACAAGTAAACAAAGAGAAGCTGTTAATTGGCAACCTTTCTTTGTTTAAATGTTTAGGTATTTCTGCAAAGCTTAGTAGAAATCAAAAATAACATAGAAAGTTGTCGTCTTCATTGTATTGATATATACGACGATATCTGTATTTTAGCTCGATCTTGCAAAGCAATATTGACTCTTTATGCATATCTAATTCATTGTTCATTGATTTATTCCCGTAGGGCATTTTGAAACAAAAATAAGTTATATATACTTTGTTTATTTCTTGTAAAAATCCGAATTGGTTAAAAGTGTTCTCTACCTGTAGAATGGGCAACTTTAAAGTAGAAAATTATTTCGATGTTTTTTTTACATCATCATCAGGACAGATTGTACCAATAATAATATAGTGATATAATAATCAACTATTAAAAAAATTTAAAATTAAAAGACAAAGTATTTTTAAGAAAAGAAATATGTAAAATTATTGATCGAACTTAAGAATGAGAAACTAGTTTTGAACTGCTAAATGAAACGAGATATTGGGGAGGGGATTTTTTGTTTTTACATTATTACCCAAAAGTTTGCAGAATTAAGCCCGGAATTCACAACAAAAAGGAAAAAAATTGTTGTTTTTCGCTTAAATTGTTAAATTCTCACATAAGTTTTCCTTCATGTCTCTGCAGCTAAATTCGCAAATCACTTTTACAGAGAACTCACATTTGAAAAAAATCAGTTTTCGATGAATCAGACAAAGACTTGAAGTTTAAAGGGCACTGGTGTGAATCGGATAAGCCACTTTATTTTTTGAAATTATGCCTTCATCGAGTGGGGGAAGGCAGGCGGCACATTTTAGAGTTTTTGTCTAAAGAATAAGAAGAGATCAGAAAAATAACACTATTAACTGTCAATACCTCAGCGTTACAATTTTAAAAATTTCTTCAAAAAGGTGTCTATTTTGTAATTTTCTCTTTAAAAAGTGCGA